TCTCCTAAGAAGAGCAAGCAGCAGTCAAAGCGCAAAGAAGCCCCACATCAAGTCTACAAACCAGTAGCTAAAACTTTGCTGCTCACCGATGGATGTGTGAAAGATCCTATTGGGGGTACGAGTGCAAGCATCAAGGACCCAACCTCAGCCAGTAATGAAATAGAAGGGGATGAATTTGCTCGTGATCCAAAGAAGAAGAAGCCTACACCAGAAAACTCGGCAGAGACCGCGGCGCGGTCCTGCCCGTCACAATGAGTGTTTTAAGTTGGAACTGCCGGGGGCTTGGGAACCCCGAGGCAGTTCGGGAGCTTCGCAGTATTGTGAAGCTTGAAGGACCCTCCCTTCTCTTTGTAATGAAACGAAAATCAAGGCAAAAAGAGTTGAGGATTTGAAGTATACGCTTGGTTTTACAGGCAGTTTTGCTGTTAACAGTGTCGGCCTCACTGGAGGCATAGGTCTGTTTTGGTCCAAAGATGTGACCGTTGATTTGAAGAATTTTAGTAAGAACCATATTGATGCACTAGTTCAGAATACTAATCAGAACGCTTATGTTTGGCGTTTTACTGGCTTTTACGGAGCAGCGCGGGCGGAAGAGAGACATCACAGTTGGCGGTTCTTGCGTACTTTGTACAATATTCCCCATAGCGCATGGTTGTGCGTGGGAGATTTTAACGAAACCTTGTTTGCTTGTGAGCACTTCAGCAGAGCAGCTCGGTCTAAAACTCACATGAGAGCGTTTCGGGAGGTTGTGGATGAGATCTCCTTCCAAGACTTGGGCTGGTCTGGCACGGCTTACACATGGGATAACCATCAATCGGGAGATGCTAATGTCAAGGCACGGCTAGACAGAGCCTTTGCTAATGAGGAATTCCGTCAGCTTTTTCGTCACATACGGGTTAGACATTTACCTTCAGTTGAGTCTGATCATTGCTTTGTGATAGCAGAAATCAAGGAGGTTTTGACAAATCAGCCTAGGGCAAAGAAACAATTCAGGTATGAAAACGTATGGCAGACCCATACAGATTATGATCGCCCCGTAGCTGAGACTTGGCGAGGTATACCGCGGACTCCTGGTCTCCAAGGCATTGCTTCGGCACTTGGTACATTGCAGTCAACCTTAGAGCCATGGAGTTTGAAGGAGTTTGGGTGTTTGACACGTACCGTCAGACAACTCCAAAAGCGTCTGAACCGTGTTCGGTGTCAGGCCATAGGAATAGGGCCATCGGATGAGGAGAAAAACATTGTTAAAAAATTGAAGGAGGCCCTGCATCAAGAGGAAGTGTGGACTCGACAGCGGTCGAGAGTTCCGTGGCTTCGTGAGGGTGATCGCAACACATCTTACTTTCAAGCACAAGCAGCGCAGCGCCAACGAATGAATAAAATCACAGAGTTGCGACGAGCTGATGGCACCGTGTGTGCTAGTGGAGATGAGGATAAAGTGGAGGTGCAGACTTTTTACCAACAGTTGTACGAATCACAAGGCTTTGCCGACCCACAGTTTTTGTTATCGCATGTGCCGATCAAGGTGTCACAGGCGATGAACACCGATCTTTCCAAACCCTACACCCCGGAGGAAGTCAAGGTGGTGTTATTTCAAATGGCTCCGTCCAAGGCACCGGGTGTTGATGGCTTTACTGCAGGTTTTTATCAGCGCCATTGGGACTTACTTGGTAATGATGTAACCCAGGCAGTGCTTGATTTTCTAAATGGGGGCGAGCTACCATCGGGTCTGAATGACACTTCTATTACTCTAATTCCCAAGGTCAGACACCCCCAATCAATAACTCAATATCGTCCTATTGCTTTGTGCCCAGTTCTATACAAGATTGTAGCTAAGGCAATCACTAATCGCTTGAGATGCATTATGGACGAGGTAATCAGTGAAGAGCAAATTGCTTTTGTTCCTGGACGCCTCATAACTGACAATGTTCTAGTTGCTTATGAAAGCATACATACGATGAGGAGAAGAAAGAAGGGCAAGAATTACTCATGCTTTTGTATGAGCTTTGTTAGATTGATAATGAAGTGTGTCTCTTCGGTTCGGTTTTCGGTGCGTGTCAACGGAGAGCTGCTACCATACTTCACACCAACCAGAGGATTCCGCCAAGGAGACCCAGTTTCACCTTATCTTTTTCTGCTTTGTGTACAAGGTTTTTCCTCATTGTTGAAATATTACAATGGAATAACTATAGACATGGGTCTGAGAGTGAGCTATAGATCACCATGGATCACACATTTGTTATTTGCAGATGATAGTCTGATCTTCATCAACGCATGTAATCCAAGTGCTCTCAGACTTAATGAAATTCTCAGAATCTATGGAGAGGCCTCGGGCCAAAGTGTTAATCATGATAAAAGTTCGGTTTACTTCAGTTCTAACACTCCTGGTTCGTTGAGGCAGGTTATGCAAGCAACATTAAATATCCATGTGCAAGCATTCAGCGAGAAATACCTGGGGCTACCTACCGCTGTGGGTCGGATCACAAGTGGCACATTTGATCATATCAGTGAAAGAGCTCGGGGGAAAATGCAAGGTTGGTCGGAGAAATTATTGGCATGTGGAGGCCGAGAGACTCTACTCAAATCGGTCGTCCAATATATTCCTACATATCCAATGAGCACTTTTCTTTTGACCAAAAAAGTTTGTAAGAGTCTTACTTCACCAATGGCTAACTATTTTTGGAGTAGCTCTCTTGACAAGAAATCACTGCACTGGGTGTCCTAGAAGGAGCTAGCTACACCCAAGTGCAAGGGTGGTATGGGTTTCCGAGACCCTCACATTTTCAATCTTGCCATGTTGGGCAAACACGGGTGGCGGTTCATCACCAATCCCAATTCCCTTTGTGCAAGAGTTTTGAAAGGCCTCTATTTTCCCGACACTGACTTCATACGGGCTTCTGTACCCAAGTCGGCGTCGGCCACTTGGAGGGCGATCATCGCTGGGAGGGAGGCCCTACGGTCTGGACTGATTTCCCGCGTGGGCGATGGCTCCTCCATCTCGGTTTGGAACGACAAGTGGATTCCAAGTACAATATCTATGTCTCCTATTTTCCGGCCACAACATACGACCGTCGAGCGTGTGTCCGAGCTTATTGATCCATCTAATTGGTCGTGGAGACAAGAACTTGTTCGACATACTTTCATTGCTCCTGATGCTGAAGCAATATTGAATATTCCTATTCGGCAAGGAGGAGGAGATGATTTTCTTGCATGGGCATTCGAAAGATCAGGGAACTACACTGTGAAGTCGGTGTACCGTGCTCTCGTGACTCAGAAAGAGCGAGTTGCTCTAGAGGAAGGGACGGCTACCGGAACCTCAGAGGAAGATACACAGTTGTGGAGATCTCTATGGAAATTGAATGTCATCCCAAAGGTTAGGGTGTTCTGGTGGAGGGTTCTTCGTGGAATTCTCCCAGATGAGGCCACTCTTAACTATCGACATATTGCAGAGATCCGTCGATGCAATGTTTGTTTGGCTATGGACGAGAATCTGGAGCATGCACTCATACATTGCGCAAAAAGCTTCATATGAATAAAGCTCTCTGGTTTCCCCTCAAAAAAAAAATACTTCAAAGCTCGACCAAGTTTTCATTAGAACCATCATCAAATAGTATATTTTATAATGTATTTATTAAGCATTGCAAATGTTGATATTTTCTAATATTAATTTACTCAAACTTTACAAAGATTGATTTTTGACAAATCGTGCACGCAGAGTGAAAAGAAACGGGCAGAGTATCACACTGAAACACGTCTATATGTATCCGATTCAGAAGAAAAAAAGTTAAAACATCTTATAAGAATCATAAGCCGAGGGAGTAGTATTCAGCCGCTGAAACGCATTGCAAAAGACAGAAGGAAAGAAAAACATCTGGAATGCCAGGACTGAATTTTAGTAACTTGAAAGGAGGATGCGGGCGGCGGCCCTACACGTGGTACAGTCTGTTCAACCTACCAACCTTCATAAATCGACTTGCAGTGGAGCAGAGTAGGAGCAGCAGTACTAGTATCTAGCTCCTGACAAGAACATTCTCAGTTATTATTGTTCGACATTGAATGAACGCCATTGAATCCACCAAGCATTCCATGCCCGAAACTACTTCACGGACGATTTTTGGTTGAACGATACCTGCACGATGGCTAATCCAAGGGCGTACGGCTGTTCAGAATTGCCAATGGATGGTGCGAGGAGTCATGTCTTCCATGCCCAGCCTGCTGCGCTGTTGGGACGTTGACTGGCATGCATGATCATCGTCAGATCAAACGGTGCCGGTCTGGAATGGTCTGTTCTTGTTCAAGATCACAATCGGTAGCATCACCTTCTTGCTCAAAAGATTAAAGTAAAAGTATTGCTAGCTAGTAAGCCCCATATGACAGAGATAAGATGAAAAATATTGAAGGAATAAACCCACCCACTTCAGGTTGAATATCAAGGTCAGTAATACAGCAGAATGAAGAAGAAAAATCAATTGAACATGACAAAGACATGCTCCATAGTTCGGTCGACAGAACCAGTACACTGTCTGTAATCAGCATGTAACCAAAAATAAAGATTGTCCCCTCCTATGTACCGCTCACTGTCAAATAGTGAATGGCAAATCGGCAGCAATGGCTAAAAGAGACAAATGTACATACAACAACAAACACAACAGGTAGTATATCTCATTGACCTCCTCATCGCCACTCTGCTACTACTACTGAAGTACCAGTAAAACTTACCACGGGGTCAGGACAGGATGGTCCAGATACCTCAAGTACACAGAGTCACAGACCAGCAATCAAAATCTTCTTCAAGATGAGCACAGAGTTGCATTCATACAGATCGGAGAGCAGAGCAGAGCAGACTTGCACCACGCCTGGAGATTCTTCTTGCGGTACTACTACCCATTAATTATGTCTCTGGTAATTGACCATGAATGGATTTGAATTGATCCAATGGCAATGAGGTTTCTGTATCAGGAAGGGAGAGCTCCAATGGCGATGGGTTGCTGCTGCTGCTGCTACTTGTGGATGTGGGTGTGGGTGGGGAAGCCGTCGACGAGCTCCACCGGGTAGCGGTCGATGCAGTCGTCCCAGGGGGTGCTGGGCGACGGCTTGACGTTGCGCAGGGCGTGCCAGACCGCGCTGTTGCACTTGAACCCGCTGCCGAAGGCGATCTGCCAGATGCGGTCGCCGCGCCGGACCCGGCCCTTGGCCTCCATGTAGGCCAGCTCGTACCAGATGGAGCTGCTGGAGGTGTTGCCGAACCGGTGCAGCGTCATCCGGGACGCCTCCACGTGCACCGGCTGCAGCTGCAGGTTCTTCTCCAGCTCGTCGATCACCGCGCGCCCGCCGGCGTGGATGCAGAAGTGCTCGAACGCCAGCTTGAAGTCCGGGATGTAGGGCTTCACCTTGGCGTTGAAGAGCTTCTTGGACACCAGCGTGGCGAAGAAGAGCAGCTGCTCGCTGAAGGGGAGCACCAGCGGCCCCAGCGTGGTGATGTTGGTCTTGAGCGCGCCTCCGGCGATCGCCATCAGGTCCTTGGACAGGGAGACGCCCGTCTTGCCCTCGCTGTCCTGCTCCTGGTACACGCAGTTGAAGGCCTTGTCGTCGGCGCCCTTGTGCGTGCGCACCACGTGCTTGAGGCTGTACTTTGCGCGGCGGCGGTCGGCGCCGCGGTTGGACAGGAGCACCGCGGAGCAGCCGACGCGGAAGAGGCAGTTGGGGATGAGCATGGACTTGCGGTTGCCGAAGTACCAGTTCTGGGTGATGTTCTCCGTGCTCACCACCACGGCGTAGGTGCCGCGGTGCACCTGCAGCATGTCGCGCGCGAGGTCGATGGCGATGACGCCGGCGCTGCAGCCCATGCCGCCGAGGTTGAAGCTCCGGACGTTGCCCCTGAGATTGTACCGGTTGACGATCATGGCGGAGAGCGAGGGGGTCGGGTTGAAGAGACTGCAGTTGACGACGAGGATGCCGACGTCCTTGGGCTTGACGCCGGTGGCGGCGAAGAGGCTGTCGAGCGCGCCGAACATGACGGACTCGGCCTCGGCGCGGGCGTTGGCCATGGTGGGCTCGGGCGGGATAGCGTGCATACCCTCGGGGCAGTAGGTCTCCTCGCTGAGGCCGGAGCGCTCGAGGATCTTGCGCTGGAACTCGAGGGCGTCGTGGGAGAAGCCGCAGAGCGCCGAGTGGCGGAGGAACTCCTGGAAGCCGACCTTGAGGTGGTCGGGCGCCTTGTAGCAGGCGAAGTCGACGAGGTAGACCGGGCGGGGGCGGGTGAGCGCGTACACGGTGGCGCCGAAGACGAGGACGGCGGAGAGGACGAGGACCGAGACGAGGTTGTACTGGAGGTGCAGCCAGAGCTGGCGGAGGTCGTCGGGGTCGGTGCGGCCGGCCTCGAGGACGATGACGGCCATGAGCGGCAGCAGCAGCAGCGTGATGAGGTGGGTGATGAGGTAGTGGTACCCCAGCTTCACGTACTTGAGGTTCACGCTCTGGAGGAAGTCCGGCAGCCGCCGATGGCTCGGCGTGGCCGCCGCCTCCGTCGGCCCGGCCGCGGCCAGCGGCGGAGCGATGCCCCCGTTCATCGCCCCCCTCCCCGGATCGCTCGCGCGGCTAGATCTGGATGCGGAATCTGGACTGGGCAGTCAAAGGCGGATGGATGGGTGGATGCCGATGCGTGGACCTCTTGCGGGGGGAGGCGTTACTGGTGGTGTTTGACGGCGCGTGCGAGTTGGGGTGGGGGTGGGAGGGGCCGACGGTGGCCGGCGGGGAGGGAGGCGGTGGTGCGTCGGGGGAATGGTCGGTGCCGGCCGGCGGAGGAGGAGGAGGAGGAGGCGGAGGCCGTTGTTGGCAGAGTGGGAGGGGATAAATAGTCGGCGAGGTGGGAGGAGACTCCAGAGGAGGGTTTTTTTTGGCTCTGTTCGCTGGATGGGATTTTGCAGGGGCACCCTCGTAGAATGTGGTATTATTTCGGTTGCTTTTGGTTTTTGGAAACTGGCACTTCGGTTACCGATTTACTGACTTTCTCTTTTGTAAAATAATTTTTTTTGAAAGTATTTATTCACAATGAATCATTGGCTTTGAGTTGAACTTCTTCTTTTCAACAACTAAGAATATTTAGTACATTTTTATTTGACTTTTCCTTAATTGTTTTGCTATTTCTCATGCAAATATATACAAGATATTATTCCTAAGTGTGATTTGAAGACGAGATTCGTGTGAGGACACAAAATGAGATAACAGCACCTTTTATCATACATCCACCGATATGCGTACTGAGAAAGCGTTATTTATCACTGCACCGAGCGATATACCTTTAAAAAAGATTATAGCCACATCGACCTGCATAGGAATGTTCGCAGATGCTGGTCACTTTCTGGATCGATGGCACTTGAGAGGCAACAATTCCGTCTTGCCAAAAGCCAAATGCTTTTTTAACTATATTAGAAGGACAACCTAATGTTAAACATTGTAGAAACGCGCCATCGCTAACTTGCAGGACGGGCCTTCACAAGCCCATCCACGGAAAAAAGAAAAAGCTAGCTGATCACGTGAGAACAACCCGAATGCTCATAGTTTGGATAAGTACTCACCTTCGCTTGATCAGGATCGCCATTTGTGGCTTGATGCTCCGCACGACACCTTTTGCATCCGTATGAACATTATCGAGCAATAAAGCTATGACTTTCCCTAAAAAAGGTAGAGTGGTAAAATGAAAACATTATCAACTCTCCGTTTACATATATAATAAATACAAAGGACTGATTCTGAGCATCGCTCGTTTTTTGCTAAGATACCCAAAGAACCACCACCCAACCCCAAGTTTTGCGACCTTAGGAGCCGCCATAGATGCCCCCAAGTCAATGTAAGAAGGCAAGGAACCACTTTCATGTTCCGTTTCAGCCTCTTATTCTTTTCTGAGGATTTCCGTTTCAGCTTATCGGAACATTTGTTTTTCCATGTGCAGTCTTTTTTTTTACCCCGAGCTCAGGAACTTGGTTGGCTTAACCGCAACGACAGAGAGAGATAACCGAAGCTTGAAGGTGGATCCGTTTCAAAAAAAAAAAGCTTGAAGGTGGAAGAAGAGAAGAACCGGCGGACAGGGACGCGCACGACGGCACGAGGCACAAAACAAAACAAAAGGTTAAAAAAAACGAATCTGGAGGCGGCCCAAGCCAGCAAGACTAGGCTGGCCCCTCGTGCCCGTGCGCGCTTTGCTACGGCTCGCTAGGCACAAACGGAATCAATCAATCGATGAAATAAAAACCATCTGTTTTAGCGGTCGTCCCGACGTGGATTGGTGGATGGACGCGATCGCGGCGAGCAGCGGGCGGGCGGGCGACGTGCGGCGGTGCGTGCTCCAGTCCGTGGCGATGCCTTGGATGGGCGCAGACGGTGAGGAGGAGCCAGCGAGCGGCAGTGGTGGTTGCTACTGCTTGCCCGTGCGTGCGTGCGTGAACCGTCACGATACGGAATCAGAATCACCTCTGCACCAACCAGAGATGCATACGGCCATTTTAGTATAAAGTATCAAGATAAACATGATCCCTCGGAATTTTTAAAATGAGTATCAACATATTTTTTATGAGTGGTTCCACCACACATCAAACTTGATCCTCGATATAAATATTGAGATACCCCGTGCATCACCTGTCAATTTTAAAAATTAAACTCGGATAGTTAGACCACACAACCGTATGCGTGCCCAACCACTGAGCCAAGGTTCTCTTTCCGATACTATGATTTAATGGACGGCAATCAAATGGCCACCTATGTCCACCGAGCAGCCGACGATGACCATGCTGCCTGCAAATGTCACGCCTCTCTCCCGTGTCCACTTAAGAGCATGGTTAATAATATAACCAGTTGTTGGCTACATGATCTTGCCATATCATCTACTGTTGTATAGAAATATGTACTACTTTGTTGATACATGGGTCGCATCCCTCTCTCATAAAGCATATAGAAAAAAGTATCAGCATTTATAATATTAAATGAATATCTTTAGATTCATTATTGAATGTAGTTTCATATTATGTACATTTCATATTGTAGATGTTGATATTTTTTGATACAAAGTTGGTCAAAGTTTGTAAAGTTTGACTCGTCATAAATCTTATATGCGGAGTACTCCCTCCATCACAGTTTAAAGGGCGTACCTCACATCTCTCTGGGCCCAAGGTCACTAGCGATTGGCAGGAATAAATGATGCGCTGGAGCTGCGGTAGTTAAGGATATGTGCCTAATTAATCGTCAAATAAACGCATAGTAACCTCCTCGTCCAATAAAAGGCCTCGCACAGCCATGCATGCAAACAAAACCGATTCACACCTCCACATAAAGTTTCAGTTCAATCCATACATGCGCACCAGAAAGGCAAGCGGAAGAAGTAATTTCAGCGGGCTAATTAATGACCTGCGCCCTATTTCCCTTTAATTGTGAAAAAAAATGGTTTTGGAGATACGCCCTTTAAACTGTAATGGAGGGAGTAGAAAAAACGGAAGGAATACTTGCTCTCACGGAGCAGCGGCTCGGGCATTGAATGTTTCATTCATCCTGGCTTTAATGGCATTCCTTCATTCAATGTCCAACAATAATACTAGTAACTGAACAAAACCATCCAGAGAGAGAATGTTCCTGTCAGGAAGCAGAATAGTAAGTACAGTGCTTCGGTCTCCACTGCGAGTTGAGTTATGACTGCTAGTGGTAGGGCTCGTGGCTTTGCCACGGTGTAGTATTCCCTCCGTCCGGAAATACTTGTCATCAAGATGAATAAAAAAAGATGTATCTAAATATATTTTAGTTATAGATACATTTTATTTTGTCCATTTTAATGTCGGCCGGAGGGAGTACTACACTAGTGCTACATTGGCCGATCATGCGACCTCAGCTGGTTGTTAAAATCCGACAATAACTAAAATTTTACTAACACAATTCATTATGATTTTGCTAAAATGGGCTTATCATTTTGGTTACTGATTTGATGGTTTTTTTCATTTGTAAAATACCCCCTACATTTCAAAATAAGTGATTCAACTTTGTACTAACTTTGTACAAAGTCGAGTCGCTTATTTTGAGATGGAGGGAGTAATTTCTAAAACTCGATTCATCGTGCATTGGCTTCTGGTTGAACTTATTTTTTTTTCAAACAACTAAAATGCTACTAACATGATCTCAATATGCATTGTCTAATATATTTTTTCTTGATTGTTTAGCTATTGCTCGTGCAGTTAGGAACACAACTAATCGTAGATGTGATTTGGAGATGAGATTTGTGCAAAGACAAATGAGATAATAACCACCAATATAGGCTAGGAAAGCGCTATTTCTAAAATAAAATACACGCTAAGCTCATCCCAATGTCTTTTCATAGAAACGTTTGCATATAGTTGTTACACCCATTCGGGATGAGAATATTGTCTCCTTTCTCTAGAAAAAACCCAACAAACACACATCAACATTTCAATTTAGAGTATGGGTGTGCTGTTCGCGTGGTCTTATCAATAAGACTAGGGAGGGGGGAAGGGAATAGAGAATGGCGAGACGGGTAAGACGACACGCAAATGAAGCCAATGGCTATCAGGGAGCATGTTTACAAGAGTCGGGTAGCTGAAACAGAAATAGTAAGACAAATGGCAAGTCTTTAAATCACAATGCCTTGACAGGTTGTGGTGTGCCGACATGTACAAATTAGAAAACCCTGACGTAACTACACCCTCATAACCGCACAAGCTTCTAACAACAGCCGCCCAAGAGCATTTTCAACAGTTCGTGCATACATAAAAAATATATCTGGTTTATGGGAAGTTGGGCAAAAAATCGCTCCAACAGATTGCGTAAACACGAAAAAAAAAACTGGGATCTCGTATAATCTGCCCAATTTCTTGTACATCTAGGAAAAGAAGAGAGCATACCCGTAAACCTTCCCATAAAGTTGGTGCGAAGCAAGTTCCCTCTCCCGCATGAAGTTTCAGTTTGTTGTTATGTATGTTACTACTATTTTCTATAAAGTTAGTTAAAATTTTAAAAGTTTGAATTAGAATAAAAGCTAGATGTACACTTATTTGCAGACGAAGGGGGTATGCTAGTTTATAATGATAAATTGAAAAGAAAAAAAATTGACTGATTTCAGGGGAAGATGTTTACGGGAACGATGAAGGAAGCTTGAAGGTGGAAAAAGAGAAGAAACGGCGGACAGGGTGGCATGAAATAAACCGGAGGTTTCGTTTAGAGGAGATTCATCTGTCCCGGGTTTTCGGCTCGGGTGAGATGAGGTCGGCCGCGCCGTACGTACGTAGACGGAACCGCTCTGCTCGTCTCATCAATCAAAGTTGAAGAGCAAAACAGTCGGAACATTCTGGCACGGCACGCCAAAAAAATTCCGGCACGGCACGCCAAGTTGGACGGAGCAGCGACGAAAGGCGTCTCCCTTCCCACCCCGTCCCATGCCCGTGAGCTGCTTGCATTGCTTGATCTCTCCATAGTCCATGCCCGTGGCACCTGGCAACCGCGACAAGAGAGCAAAAAGATTCCCACGCTGTGTCTGCCGTGGTTTTGCTACTGCTTGCCCGTGCGTGCGTGCGTC